GGCAGTAAATTCGTTCCCTAATTCCATGTCTCCAGATAGTGACGGCCTGCCCATAGAAGTTTATAAGATGTTCGGGGAAATACTGCTCCCAGAACTCTTGCAGACAATTAGGACCGCTGTGGCACAGGACACTCTCCATGAATGAGGCGATCATCGTAGTTCTATTAAAGCTGAGGAAGTATCCTACTCAGGCCGAATCATACCACCCTATTTCCCTGTTGCCTACTGACTTGAAGATTATTACAAAGGTGCTCGCTACACGGCTTTCTAAAGTAATTGCTAAACTCATACACCCGGATCAGTCGGGATTGATCCCTAATAGATAGACATCAATTAATCTCAGCAGGGTATACCTTAATTTGCAGCTACCGAAGGAAAATATCGGTAATAGAGCCATTCTCTCACTTGATGTCGCTAAGGCTTTTGATAGTGTTGAATGGCATTATTTATGGCAGGTTCTTGATAAATTTAATTTGGGGAATGAGTTTATCTCTTGGCTTCAACTGCTTTATAGGGCTCCCACTGCTAGATTATGAGTGAATAATGCTTCATCCTCCTCCTTTACACTATACAGAGGTACGAGACAGGGATGCCCATTATCGCCCTTGCTCTTTGCATTGGCGATAGAGCCATTGGCAGCGGCTATTAGGTAGGTCCAGACTATAGAGGGGTTTAAACAAGGTGAGGTTGAAGAAAAAATAGCTTTATACGCAGATGATGCTCTACTAATCTTGGGCAATACGTCCCACTCCCTTACGAGATTGATGATTGTACCTTTGGATCTTTTTCTGGTTTCAAGATTAATTGGGATAAATCTACCCTGTTACCCTTAGACCCGATTCCTGCCCCTTTACCACAGGTTGGGTCCCAAATCCAGGTGACGGACTCCTTCCGTTATTTGGGAATTCATATCCATCCTACCCTGTCTAAATATGTACAGCTTAATCTCTGCCCTCTCCTTCTTAAGTTCAGACAGAAAATGGTTAGTTGGAACAAACTACCGCTTTCGGTAGTTGGTAGGTGTAACCTCATAATCTGGGCCTCTCAGTTATTATACGTTTTGCATAATGCACCAAACTGGATCCCTATGTATGTTTTCAAACAGTTTGATACCGTGTTCCGATCTTTGATTTGGAAAAAACGCTCTCCTCGTATAAAACTGGAAACATTACAGAAATCTAGAGAAGCTGGGGAATTGGAGGTACTTAATCTATTTTACTATTATATAGCTGCACAACTTCAACATCTCACTGCTTGGCAGGATGGTAAACATGCAGACACTGTTAAGCCGCTCTTAATGGTTTTTTTTGTCCAATGATAATCTGGTGGAATGTTTGGAGGCGGCTATACGTTTGGAATAGGAGGGACTCTCCCCTTTGCCCTAGATGTGAAATTCATAATGGCACGCTTATCCATATGCTATGGAAATTTATTGCTCGGAAACTTATAGATCTGAAATGGTTATCACCCTCACCTCCTTCCCATATTCAATGGATTAAAGTGGTCAATGATACTCTGATTAGAGAAAAATTTAGTTTATCAGCATAGAGGATGTGCACAGAAATTTACTAAAGTCTGGGATGCCTGGTTGGGGACTCCGGGATTAGCACCAGCACAATTAGTTAAGGACAGGCTTTTAAGCTGTGGAACCCCATTGGGTCTACTGTACTGTGAGATAACTATCCTTCCATCAACCCTTGAATAGGAATTGGGATATAGATGTATCCATACGGTAAAACTCTACTATTGGCAAAAAGCTAGCTTAGACTCTATAATTACTATATTGCACGTGGACGAGCTGAGGAGGTTTGACTCTCGGAGTTCAGTTCGAAGAAGGCTGGTTTTTGGTTCCTGTTTTTGTTGTTGTCAAATTGTTAAAATCCATTTTGATTTTGTAACTCATGTTATTTTAATTTCCTTCTGTTTTTCCCAGCCTATTTTGAAATCTGTTTTTTTTTTTTATTTCTCTTTTTCAAAAAAAGGATCTGAAAAATGTTGTGGCCTGGAATCGATGGTTATCTTTGGTATACATGACTTTGTACCCCTTTTTTTATATTATAACGATGTAACTTGTTGATACTATGACTACACTCCGTTGGAGATTGTGGTTGTCTGATTATATTTGTACATGGACCCATACTTCAATTACTAAAAAAAAGATCTGATTTAAAAAAAAAAAAAAAAATTGTAATAGGAGTTTTCATTCTTCTCTGACTGTCCTATGAGACTGCATAACCCCTGACTCTCTGTCTGGACAGCACTGATTGGCACTGTGCTGATAACACGCACCCTCCCAAAGATAAGAAAAAAAAACTCTCCAGTTATACACACTAAACTGAGCATGTGCAGAGTGACTCCTAGGGCTCTGTACTATCAACAGATGAATTTGGGACAGTAGAAGAAGGGGAAGATCAGAGAGGACAGGATCAAACATCCTTTTTACACAATGCAGAGGATTAACCCCTGAGGTTCCACAGTGAGTATAACAAGCATGCTTTACTGCATATACAGACTGATTGTACTGTTGTGGGTTTAGTAAGACTTTAACAAGGCAGACTCTCTCTATAGGTTTTGCTCCACCAATGAAGTCTCTCACATGGCTGTACAGGGCAGGTTTTTCTTAACATGGCAATCTTGCCCTATGAACTAACAAACAGGCACGAACTAAGCACCTGTCACAAACAGGCACGATTACCCCCTTGATTAGCACCTGTCACTGCACCATTCCCCTATAGGCACCCAAACACTAAGTACATGAATCTCTGATTAAAGCCCAACTCCACTTTATTTTTTGTTGTACTAGAACTGCGTTTTCAGCTATGGATTCACAACACATTTCCATTTTCCTATAGTCAGTTTATACCACACCTTGTGCATTTCTGTGTTGACCAAGCTTACCTGCTGCCAGTGAAGTGTAAGAACCCAAGATGAACGTTTCTCTCTTGATATTAAATCAGGGACAGTCTCTATACACAGGACATTGATCTTCCCATCAAACCAGTGCTGGAAAAGGTAAAATTAATTATTGAAGTTTAGGGAGTGATATGGCACAAAGAGATAACTAGGGGTCTTAGCCCATAACTGCATATTTGAATTCTGGAAGAGTCTGGGGTGTATAGTTCATAGCTTGCGAGGAGAAGAGATAAGAGAACCTTTATGCAACACCTCCAGGAGACTGAAGAGATCTCTATAATAGCACATAAAGCACAGCAGAGTGTGCAATCTAAGTGTATCATCCATCAAAAATCCAGGTCTCAGCAAAGGCAAGGCTTCAGGGCATACACACAGGATTGGCAGGTGTAGAACCTGTAATAGCTGAGAGGAACCCCAGGGGGTGCCAATCTACATGCAGCATCATAGGTAGTGTGAACAGCACAAGACAATTGGCACCGCACTCAGAACCAGATGGAAAGCATATGTGGTGGAAGATAGCGCTGATAGTGGGTCCGTTTAGCTGCTGTCTAGGTCAGTCCATAGCACACCACTTGTCAGGAATGGACTTGCCAGTGGTGGTGGGACTCACCTGCCTTGTGGGCTGCAGTACCAGGGCTGGCCAGCGGGTGCTCTCAGCAACCAGAGGCCCACTCCTGCAATGAGCCATCACCTGAGGCTGATTACAGCAGGTGTATTTAAGGAATGGCCAGGCCTGTGATCAGGGCCTTGGTGAATGTTTCCCATGAGCCCCTGTACCTGCATCCTGTCTGCTTCCTGCCTGATCCTGATTCTGCATGAACTCTGCCTGTCCTGACCTCGGCTATTCCTGACTACGCTTCCGCCTGCTCCTTGTACCTTGCCTGCCCGTTTGCTACCCAACCCGGCCTGCCCAACTACGTTTAGTATTGTTCTTATTCTTATCTGTTGGAGGTTTGGTTGCACTGTGTTTATGTTTAGTCTTGCACTGCGTTTATGTATTGTTTAGTCTTTAATAAATTGTATTGTTTATACTATACCTGGAGCCTGTGTTTCCCTGTGTCAGTCCACACATTTCTGGTCATACCCGGATCCCTAACAGAACACCAAGGCCATTCATGAAAAAGTGGCTGCATAGGGAAGCCATCTTGGCTTATTGTTGCTGGGAAGGATGCATCTTGATGAGGTGGTGTATTTGTCTCTGCTAGTCTTTGATGACAGAGATTATGCTTATCAGACTCTGAAGGAGTATACCGGGATGAACTGCTAGAATGCATTTCCTAGTAGATCATTGCCTAGTAGATCAGGGCACAGAGTTCTCTGAGGTGCAACCATTGATTCAGGTTTGTGCAGAGTTGGCTTCATCTGGTACCCCCGAATGCAAGGATGATTTTTTGCCGCCATTTAGTACCGACCAGGTAGAGTCCCTGGTGTGGTTATTGGAGGATGATGTGGATTACTTCTTGGAGCGTTATTCTGCATGTTCACAACAGGTGCTAAGAGATTGTATAAACGCAGTGCAGTCTTTGACCAGACAGGCTTTGTGTAAGATGAGCTTTGTTCAACCCGTACTGCAGACATGGTCAGACTTGTTGCACCCAGCCTCAGTCAGCTTGCAATGTCATTCCTCTGCTCAAGGCACTCTTCCTGCATCCCCAACAGCACCCCCAGTGACGGCCCAGTATACTCTACTAACTACCCCATATCAGTCCCCTGCTCCCACTCGCTGCACCTATCCTATCTTTAACCCTGTAAAGAAGTCCTCTGTAGCAACTGCTCCCTCCTTTGTTCCATCCCTCAGCTCTTCTCTGCCTACAGCTGCTCTATCCACTTACAAACCTGCGCTTACTTCCTGCGCTCCAGTAACTAAAACCAGGAAAAAGCGAAAATTCTTTCCAACCAATACCATCCTGCCAGTATCCAAACCGGTCAGCCTGCCGTCTGAGAACCCGCCTTCCGTGGTTCAGCCTGATACCCTGATGCCCGATGACCCAGTGTACCCTACCCAGCTTGATGTGTCTACCCAGCCTGATGGTCCTATTATGCCAGATGACTCAGTGCCCGCTGTCGAGCCAGACGATCCAATGCCTGATGACCCGGTGCCCACTGTCGAGCCAGATGACCAGGTACCCGCTGTCGAGCCAGATGACCTGATGCCAGATGACCCGATGCCCGCTGTCGAGCCAGACGATCCAATGCCTGATGACCCGGTGCCCGCTGTCGAACCAGATGACCTGGTACCCGCTGTCGAGCCAGATGACCTGATGCCAGATGACCCATTGCCCGCTGTCGAGCCAGATGACCCGGTGCCCACTGTCGAGCCAGATGACCCGATGCCTGATGACTCGGTGCCTGCTGTCTTGCCAGATGACTCGGTGCCCGCTGTCATGCCAGTTGACTCGGAGCCCGCTGACGTGCCTGGTGACTCGGTGCCCGCTGTCGCTGCTGACGTGCCTGGTGACTCGGTGCCCGCTGTCTTGCCAGATGATGTGCCCGCTGTCTTGGATGACTCGGCGCTGTCCTGCCAGTTGACTCGGTGCCCGCTGTCGTGTCAGTTGACCCGGAGCCCGCTGTCTTGCCAGATGATTCGGTGCCCACGGTCTTGCCAGATGACTCAGTGCCCACGGTCTTGCCAGATGACTCGGTACCCACTGTCTTGCCAGATGATTCGGTGCCCGCTGTCTTGCCAGATGACACGGTACCCGCTGTCATGCCAGATGACTCGGTACCCGCTGTCGTACCAGATGACTCGGTACCCGCTGTCGTGCCAGATGACTCGGTGCCCGCTGTCGAGCTTGGTGACCCGGTGCCCGTGGTTCTGCTAGATGGCTCTCGGGGCCTGCTGTCGTGCCAGATGACTCGGTACCCGCTGTCGTGCCAGATGACTCGGTGCCCGCTGTCGTGCCAGATGACTCGGTGCCCGCTGTCGAGCCAGATGACTCGGTGCCCGCTGTCGAGCTTGGTGACTCGGTGCCCGCAGTTCTGCTAGATGACTCGGTGCCCGCTGTCGAGCTTGGTGACCCAGTGCCTGCGGTTCTGCTAGATGGCTCGGTGCCCGCTGGTGCCAGATGGCTCGGTGCCCGCTGTCGAGCTTGGTGACCCAGTGCCCGTGGTTCTGCCAGAGGACTCGGTGCCCTGCTGCTTGCCTGATGGCCGGTGCCCACTGCTCCGCCTGATGGCCCGGTGCCCACTGCTCCGCCTGATGGCCCGGTGCCCATTGCTCCGCCTGATGGCCCGGTACCCGCTGCTCCGCCTGATGGGCCGGTGCCCGCTGCCTTGCCTGCTGCTCCGCCTGATGGCCGGTGCCTGCTGCTCCGCCTGATGGCCCGGTACCCGCTGCTCCGCCTGATGGCCCGGTGCCCGCTGCCTTGCCTGCTGCTCCGCCTGATGGCCCGGTGCTGCGCTGCCTTGCCTGCTGCTCCGCCTGCCTGGCCCGGTGCCCTGCTCCGCCTGATGGCCCGGTGCTCCGCCTGATGGCCTGGTGCCTGCTGCTCCACCTGATGGCCCGGAGCCCGCTGCTCTGCCTGATTGCCCGGTACCCACTGCTCCGCTTGATGGCCCGGTACCCGCTGCTCCGCCTGATGGCCCGGTGCCTGCTGCTGCCTTGCCTGCTGCTCCGCCTGATGCCCGGTGCCTGCTGCTCCGCCTGATGGCCCGGTGCCCGCTGCTTCACCTGATGGCCCGGTGCCCGCTGCTTCCACCTGATGGCCCGGTGCCCGCTGCCTTGCCTGCTGCCCAGCCTGACGTGCCTGCCTGCTGTCCCGCCTGATGTGCCTCTGCCTGCTGCCCAGCCTGACGTGCCTCTGCCTGCTGCCCACCTGACATGCCTCTGCCTGCTGTCCCGCCTGACATGCCTCTGCCTGCTGCCCAGCCTGACATGCCTGCCTGCTGCCCAGCCTGACATGACGCCCAGCTGACGTCCTGATGACCAGCCTGCTTCTGGAAATCCTGTGTCCAGCAATCTGCCTTCCTGCAGTCTCCTACAAAAAGATAGGCCTATCAGCAGGAGACCCAGCCAATCGCTTGATTCCGGCAGTGGGATGTCCAGCCAGTTGCTGGACCCAGGCAGTGGAACATTTGGGCCATTACGGACTGTTTGGAGCATCCTGAGGCCGCTCCTTGGGGGGGGGGATTACTGTCAGGAATGGACTTGCCAGTGGTGGTGGGACTCACCTGCCTTGTGGGCTGCAGTACCAGGGCTGGCCAGCGGGTGCTCTCAGCAACCAGAGGCCCACTCCTGCAATGAGCCATCACCTGAGGCTGATTACAGCAGGTGTATTTAAGGAATGGCCAGGCCTGTGATCAGGGCCTTGGTGAATGTTTCCCATGAGCCCCTGTACCTGCATCCTGTCTGCTTCCTGCCTGATCCTGATTCTGCTTTAATCCTGACTCTGCATTAACTCTGCCTGTCCTGACCTCGGCTATTCCTGACTACGCTTCCGCCTGCTCCTTGTACCTTGCCTGCCCGTTTGCTACCGACCCGGCCTGCCCGACTACGTTTAGTATTGTTCTTATTGTTATCTGTTGGAGGTTTGGTTGCACTGTGTTTATGTTTAGTCTTGCACTGCGTTTATGTATTGTTTAGTCTTTAATAAATTGTATTGTTTATACTATACCTGGAGCCTGTGTTTCCCTGTGTCAGTCCATACATTTCTGGTCATACCCGGATCCCTAACACCACTGCTATCTTGTACACAGTGTTCATTGAGCCAGAATGCAGAGAGACAGTGTTCTGCATCTGGACCAGAAGTGATGACAAGGGGGCTTGGTTACGCATTTTGAGGCTTCTGCATCTTTGTCAAGCAGGCAACTGTCCCTCTGCTTCCTGGATCCCTGGATACTGTATACAACTATTGCAGTGATGTGCTTTGAATTGATCCAGACAGCAGATAAACACACCTACTATCACTATCATCTTCTACTACATGTGCTTTCCGTCTGGTTCTGCCAAATTTCTTGTGCTATTCACACTACCTATTATGCTGCACTTATATTGGCGCCCCTGGTGTCCTTCCCAACTAATACAGGTTCTACATCTGTCAATCCTGTGTATAGAAAAAATGGCAGTATGACAAGTGCAACACTGCCTGCAGAAAGTGGTTAATTGAAAACCCATGCGGAGTAATGTAATTGCATAGATAATAGCTACAAAAATATTTTATTTGATCACATGGATCATAAAGAGGTTAGACATGGACACGGTGAACAAATCATAATAAAATCAAAAAATTAAAAAACATTCAACGTCTTCAAATCTGGTTATTTATCGGTAAACAGGAATCCACATAAGGCAATGAAGTTTCCTAACTATATAATCCAAGAATTCCATATGGTTCCACATGGTATCTGGATAGGAGATCATTCTTCAGAAATATTCTTTGGTAAACACCACAATAAACGGAATGACTTCCTATAATGGAAACCAAAGAAGGATCGTAGTAGTGGAAACATAAAGAAAATAATATATGCACTGATCATGTACTGAAACAGAATAACCAAACTTGGTAGTAAACTAGTAATTCCATTACCTTCTTATGAGCTTGACCATCATGAAATGAGACAATGAATGTAGGGCCTTCCTGGGTGACCATCCCAAATAGAAATGAATCCACAATAGCAAGTGATTCTAAAAATGTATAAACATAAATCATGAATATCAAAAAATACCTGAATAAAATAAATGTAGGGTAAAAAATATATTACCATATGCAAGATCAAGGAGACTCCACCTCACTTGAAATGAGATCAGGTCTTTGTGTTTCTAATGATGAATATGGGGGTGGAAAGCCAGGTGGTCTATACATATAAAGTCCAAGCTGATTATAGCAGGCAGTATATACCTGAATATATGTACCCAAATCAGGGTTTCCAAAAATTGATCTTGCTGAGAAATGATGCGGTTCCTTTTAGATATATATGAGACTGATATCACATATCACAGCACATATGTAGTGTAGTATAAACGTATTCCTCCAATAGGAGTTCAAAAATTCCCCCAAAAGAGGGCCTTATATAGTGCCTTAATTGCATATAAAGTTGTTTATGTCGCCCTCTTGTGTTGAAAAAACCATCACTACATTAAAATCCAAAAATCACATAAACATATACTAGATAGTGACATTACAGGGAAGGCCTTATTCAAAGGAAAAGATCTTCAGATAGATTATCAAATGGAAACTTGGAAAAAAGGAATATAATTCCTTAGACTCAAATGGCAATGTGGGCATATCCTCACCAAGGAGATTTAATTCTTTTATTCAATTCAAAAAGACTTTAAAATTAAGTTCTGTATTTAGTCCATGTGGAACTAACGTACCAAGAGTATATATCCAAAATTTAATTTAGTGATGGTTTTTCAACACAAGAGGGCGAAATAAACAACTTTATATGCAATTAAGGCACTATATAAGGCAATGGAAGAAAGTCCCCCCTACCAGTTCTGACGAAGTCTGCGGTGATTGGCGGACGAAACGTGTCAACGTGATGACATCATAACGCTTGGCGTCTTCATAGGGTGCGGTGCCCACGAGGAGGGAAGAAGCAGTTTGCTTCAGCTCCATATTGGAAAGGCACGAGGCATTAAGACTACGATGAGGCTATCATCCTAAGCAGCCCGCACATGGTGACTTAGAGTCACAGCTCACTGTTTATAATGACTCGCTTAACCTACCAGCATGTCTTTAGAGTGTGGGAGGAAACCGGAGTACCCAGAGGAAACCCACGCAGGCACAGGGAGAACATGCAAACTCCAGGCAGGAGGCGCCGTGGCTGGGATTCGAACCAACAACCCTAGTACTGCCAGGCGGAAGTGGTAACCATTTAGCCGCTGTGCTACATTCAACTAGAACATGAAATAATCACCCAAAAATACAGAGTCCAAATGTTTATTGATCAAATACACATTCCACATTTATTAGGACAGCAACAACAAGTAGGTACATTCAATTTCTTGGTGAAAAAAAAAAAAAAGCAGGATTGATGTTGCTAAAATAGAACAGTCCTGCTCATAACAGCTTACAATCTAAAAGATTATACTTCTAATGAACTGTGCTTTCACAGGTTACAGCAGGAAACAAACAGTTAATATAAATCACATAGTAGGCTTATCTATCCACAAAACAAGCTGCAGATGAAAATATCAATATAAAAATACATACGTGCCAAAATAAAACACCTCCCACCTCCCCAAATCCCCCACACATACATTTCTCATCAGGTTTGAAAACTGCATTTCAGTCTAAATAAAGCAAACTTGGAAGAGCAGAGCAATTGACATGTGTTAGGATTACAATGCAAAGATAATAAACACAATCATTGTACAATAACACACAAACAATCCTTAGAGGAAAAAAAATGCAAAACATTTACAGCCCACATCAAAACACAGCGTGGGTGTGGCCTGGGGCAATTCACCACAATATCTCTTCCTCTCCAAACCACCACAGACAAGGACTTGCAGAAAATAATGTGGCCTGTACAAGGAAAACATCATCAACTACTGCAACTCTTTATATAAGGTAGGCCACACCCACCACTGTCATTTATTTGGTCATAGAAAGTGTTTTCAGCTGATTAATTCTCTTCCCACCTGCGTTAACCTTTGGTATACAGGCCCCACAAATCAGAGTCAGAAAGAAAGCCACAGTAAAATGTACCTGTGCAGCATACAACAGAACATTGAACAGGGATGTGAAAGGGAACCGTATTGGCAATATTTCTTGGCCCTATGGGCACAATTCACTCCAGATTATCGCATGAGTTAAGGCAGTCACATGACCACATCTTGCATGCAATACTGAAAATGTCAATTCACTTTTGCTAATATGTGGGATTTCCCATAAATTGGAAAAACACTCAGGAAATCAAAATATAAAAAGGTCTTACACCGATTTAGAAATTGTGTGACATACAGTAAAAATACAGATTTTCTTGAGATTTGGAAGACATCTGACACAGATATCTATGCAATTCGCCACAAACGTAGTACATGTACTACTTTAGAAATAAGTATCGGAAACGCACCCATGTGACCAGGGGCGTATTTGCCACGAGGCAAACAAGGTGTTTGCCTAGGGTGGCACTTTTTAGGGGGGTGGCGTGGTGCCGCCGCCCCCGCTTTCAACGAAAGGGACATTTAGTACAGGGGGGCGGCGGGGGGCTGCTGTGTCTTACCTGGCTCTGGTCCCAGTCCCACGACGATCCAGTCCAGGAAGCGCTGCTGGAGGAGGGGTAG